CAACTATCTAATTAAATTTGATGAATAGTTTTTTATTTAAATTCTAGAGATCTATAGAATTCAAAATAAAAAATAATTCATTGAATTTGATAAGATAGTTGTTGAGATATCTTTATCTAAAGGTTTAAGAAAAAACTTATATTTTGATATTATGATGAAAATGATACAAAAAAACTCTTCCCAATGATTATTTGGACCAAAATTCCTACTGAAAAAAAAACAGAATTTTTGTTGGAGAGTTGTGGCCTAATGTAGCAGTTTGCCTAGAGGTCAACGGTTTTACTCTTCTGGGACTCCTCTATAAGTTGTGCATTTGACATGCAAGCCAAAAGCGTTAGTATGCAAGATAACTGGCTGGAGGTGTGTGCTCTTGGATACAAAATTTTGGTAAAAAGACAATGGTCAGGCTGTCGACGAAGTTACTTAGGCTGTTACTTTCAGTGGAAGAACACAGGGGAAACAACAAGACTCTGCTTTTCTTCAAGCTGTACTCTTTTACTTGGTCAAGTGGTTCCTCTTCTACTTCTACTCGCCTTCCTGTCGATCTTTCAAAAAATTTCGACAAAAAGTGGGGATTTGGCTTACCCTCTCCAAAAGATCGGCATTGTTTACTTCCCAAATCTGAACAGATTAGCAGAATACAACTACGTGTTTGTTTACGAACGAATATGGCGCTACTTCAAGGGACTTGGCCTGGGAACTCTAATTATAGCAGCAGGTGGCTTGAGACACAGGTCCTCGGATGACGGCAGCACCTGGCTCAAAATACGAATTAAGACAGACAACAGAGCTATTTGAAGTTGGTGGGAAGGTCAGAAAATAAATTTAACATTAAGGCATAGCCTTACAGTAGAGATATACAAATGTTGTATTTGTTATATAATTTTTATACTTGCCTGGCATGGGTTATAATAGTGCTTCATAGATTGTTATATTTCTTTTTGTTTTTTCTTTTTTGCAATTTGTGTCTGTTTTTTCTTTTTTTTCTGTTTTTTTTTTTCTTTCGTTTTTATATAACCTTTTTGAAAATTTCACCCTTTTGTTTTGTGTCCCTTGAGAAAAAAAAAGAATTAGAAGAAAAAGTTTAACAGTTATGAATAGGCTATACAACAGCTAGCGAAGTATCAAGGAAGTATCTTTATAGTACAAAATCCTTAGAAAGTTTTGGAGCAAACAGTTGTTATGACAGGTCAACTTGGGCAGTATGTTTGGGTAGCTTTTATTAGATAGAATCATATTTGTAAAAAATTGTTGTATTCATATATAATAGTTATACGAGATTTGTAAATAAAGGTATGACTGTTTAAAAAAAAAAAAGATATAGTGGCTAATATTAGTGTAATAACTAAACTTGAATATTTTTAAAAAACAGCTAGATTTTAGTCTAATGTGTTTATTGTCACAGATCATAAAAAAATTAGATTAAAATGAAACTGATAACCTTTTTTGCTTATTTTTAAAGCTTATAAAACCCACTTATATTTTTTTATTAATAAAACTAACTCTAAACTCTAACCCTAATACTAACTCTAATTCTAAAAAATGTAAACCAAAAAATTTTAAATTTTCTTAAAAAAATAAAAAAATTTCATTCTATTTTGATTTTATTTTAATCTGCCATATTTATTAAATAGTTTAGTTTTGTAAATCATAGCTATTTGAAATGCAAATCTTTTTGCACTAGACCAGTGTTGTATATGAGACAATTTTGAACAATTTTGGATATTTTTTCAAATTAAAATTACCCAAAATTTTATTAAAATAATCTATTTTAATTTTTTTATAAATGAGCCTAGCACCTAAAAAAATATATAATTATATATTTTTTTAAATTACTTTATTGATTATTTAAACTTAGGACATAGACTTGGATGATTTTGAACAATTTTGAACATTGGACATTGGATATAGTATGGATGTGTTCTATGTACAACACTGTACTAGACTATATAAATATTCAAAAACTATATCATGTTTGTGGTATTCAATACATAATAAGCTGCAATATAACATATAAATTAAAATAAGTACTATTTATTCCCTGGGATGATGGGAATAATGAAATATTTCTCCAGTAGCATATAGGATGCTTTGTGTCCCATAAGTACAATGCTGAAGAAATATTTTAATTATTTCTCCAACATAGTGGAATAAATGAATTATTCAATATTTCATATAACGACATGACAGAGGCTCGTGTTATTAATTATTTTTATTATTTTTTTTGTCTTTCTTTATATTTTTAACTTTTCAGAAAATAACAAATGCCTGTTATTATTCCGGCTTTATTTGTTATTACCTCATTGTAATAACAAATAAAAAAAAAAAAGAAAAAAAATTTATGATAAAAATTATGATTAATAACATGTAAATCCCTGTTATGCAATTATAATGAGACGTGAAATAATTTTTATTAAAATAAAAATTAAATTTTGATTAAAATTAGAGTTAGAATAAAGGCTAGGATAGATTAGAAGCTTAATTTATACCAAAATTTTGCAAGAAATTTTTTTGTTAGAGCTTAAAAAGTGGGGTTATAAGTAAAATTTTGAGTTAAATTCTTTTTTAAAAGCCTATGTTATACCTGATCTTTATATTACACTGCAGCAATTATTGTGGTGTTGAACAGATTTAACAATGCTGTAAATATTTAACAACTTTAAATTAGTATTAAAATAACATTAATTTATATTAAAAAAAAATTGTCAACTATTTTTTAAACAAATTTGTTTAGAAATTTTATTATTAAATAATTGATTAGATTTATTTAATCTTGAAAATTCATATATTAATAAATTTTTACTTATTACAATTTTGGTATTATAATAATACGTATTTATCAAATAATTGACAAATTTGCCTAAAAAATTGGTTAAGAACTACGTAGAATATATAGATTTAAATATATACTGTATATAGTCTAACTACTTTATAAATATTACAAATTTGTTAGTTCTATAAAGTGTATACGTAATACTTAAAGAACCAAATTTTAATTAATAAATTTTGGTTTTACCACAAAATCCCGAAAGGACCCAATACCGACAAAGTTAGCCGGCATTAGTTATAATGCTGGCCAATTTAGTCGGTATTATGTTCTTTCGGGAAAATGGGTTTCGAGATTTTATTAAGAACATATGTCGTCTAACATAAAAATTTGGTAATTGGGATTTTTAGCATAATTATTCCGTTCTAATCTAGGTGGATTCCGAACCTATTATGGTTCCATTCCCATTTACAACATATATAATTGGATTTATTAGTCCCTAACGGATCAAGCACCCGTGGGTTTACAATTTGGGAGCTTTGGTAAACCTTTTTAGCCCCTTATCCAATTTTTTATTGTACGTACTGTACGTACGTACATAAATCAAATTAAATTTGCACGTATAAAATTTGTACGTATATATATATACGTATAACTAACTAATTTATACTTTCTTAACATACAGTACGTATATAAAAAATAATTAATATTAACTAAAATTTTAATAAATTCTGCAAATTTAATTGGGTAAAACATTTTAGCCAATCAAAATTCAAGAAAAGTAGATAAAAAAGTCAAAAGTTTTAATATAACGCCTGTCGAAGTTCTTTCTAAACCCACTATGCACTATAAAATCCCGTTTCAGTAAATAATAAAAAAAGGATCCATACAATAACAGTACGTATATATATATTAATATATCATATCAGATACGTATGTTCGATCAAAATTATACGTACGTAGAATATTACGTAGCGTTAGCTTAATACAGTAACAAAAAAGATTACCGTTACGTATAAATTCTGGTTCTGATAACGATAAGCAACATTTTGTACATACAGTAAGTATGCTTTCTGAATCTAACGTGATTTAATCACCAGTTATCTTTGTTTTCGCTTATCATTATTTATCGGAAAAAACCATGATAAATATGTATGAACAATGGTAATCATTTCCAAAAGTTTTAACTAAAACTTCACATGATCTAAATATTATTTATTATTTTAAACATAACGATAATAACAGATAAACCGATAAATATCGACAATTATATGTGTAATTAAGCTTTTATCAAATTTTATGTCTCCCCAACACTTAAATAATAAGCTGTTATTGGTTTATGATATTATGTACACCTTATCGTTAGATCAATCAATAATCTGATAAATGTTCAATTAATTGATGCATCTTTTTTTTTAAGTGGCTATCTGTTATCTTTACATCAAATTAAAAAGTAATTCTTTGTGATTGCTGGATTTGATTGAAGAATTCATATAATATCTCAAGTACGTTATCGATATCATCATTTAAAATAGGGTCACTCCGTTACACCCGTTACACTGTTAATAAAATAGTAAGAGTCCGATTTGTTGTTTCATTAATTGTAGATCGGGTTCCAAATGGTGTGTCACAATCAAATCCAGAAATAGTTATCAAACACTTTTCATGTGACCTCTGAATGTATTATTGTATCATAATGATGTAAATCAAAATTACGTTCTATAAATTTTTTGATCGAAACTTAGCACATTTTGGTAAGTCAAATATTAACGTTAAAGGCCATCAATGATTTGAAGAAATAAAATTGTTTTTGAAAATATGGCGTTTATTCAACGGACATAAAATACGAAAAAGAGAAGTGTATTAGAAAAAAATAGTATTTCCAAATTAGGTCTTTTGAGTGATCACAGTGATGACTGCCCCGTTGTACATTTGTGATTTTCAGAAAGGGCATGCAACTTTATTGATAGCATAAAAATTACGTACGTGTTGCCATTAAAGCGCCCACTTTGATTTTTTTTCCAGAACATTATCAAAGTTTCATTTTTTTATGTTGCTTTTCTCGATAAAATTGATATAGTTAGCATTTTGTTTTATTTTTACTGTTCGTTCTATTTTCACGGTATCGTATTATTGTTTTTGTCACGTTTTCTAATTATTTACATATTTACGTCCTTTGTTTGTTTAATCATTTTCTTAAATTTTTTATTGACTTCGAAAATTATTATAGACAATGGAAACTGTTATCGAAGCCCGTGATATTCCTTTCGCGAAGGAGACAAAACCAGTGGATACTATAAATCCAGTTGCACCGAAACTTATTGGTAAACCAAAGATTCATACCAACCTTTCCAAAACTTCGTCTAATGGTTCACCGAATGAAAAACGATCGGTCGGTTTCATTATTCCTGAAGGATTTGATAATTCTCGTGATGGTTTGGGATTAGTAGTAACTGACGATGATTCTACCGTCGTTTCCACTCCCATCGATGAATTTTTCTTGGATTCACCAACTTCCTCCTCACTTGATATCTCTGTCCGAGAATTACATTCAGATATTTTGGTTGCTCTTTTTGATCGTGAGGCTGAAATTAAAGATCTTTTCGTCCGTAATCAAGACTATTTTGATTTTGTTAAACAATCAGCTTTTTCTTCCGATGATCGTTGGCAAGAATTTCTAAACATTCTATTCTCACCACGTAAACAAATCTCTGATACTGATTGGATGGATACAATTTCGGAATTATTAAGTCCTCCACTTTTGGTTCAATTCAAAGTGATTGTTGGATACTACGATAATGATGAGGAAAATGATAATGTCGACGACGAAAATGATTTTGACGATTCTTCTTCAGTTTACACTTGCGATAGTCAATTTGGAAATTTGGATATCGCTTCTATACGTGATTATCCAAAATCATTGGAATATCTTGAAATATCATATCCTCAATTTTTTGCCAATGCCCGTCAAATTTTGGGTAAAGAAAAACAGCGTAAAGGTAGCTTTTTAGGTGGAAATCATTTGACTGATGATATACCTCTTCAGTCTGAAAATGATGTAATGCCAGAACCAACAAGCTCACTTTATGTTGAATTCAAAAAAATTTTACTTTGTCCAAGATCTGAAATGGACGATGTTGAATGGGACATTTCTATTTATGAACTTTTGGACCCTTGGCCACAACTTGTTGCTCAGTTTGAAGATATTATTGCTCATGAAATTAGTGGGTGATGAAAAATTAACGAAAAAAATATTTGGTATATTTTTTGCATTGATTTTACACATAAATACAATAGTTATTGAACATTTTATTTACACAATGGCTATTTATCCATGAACCCTCTTATTAATAATTTTACAATTTTTTTTTACATAATTGAATTTTTCGTTGTCGCAGAATTTTTTTTTCATATAATTCATGAATTTTGTAATCAAATCAAATAATTTTATTTAGATAAATGTTTATAGAATTTGTTTTATAAAAACAATTCTTTTAATATCAATAAATTCTTTGTAATATATTATTATATAATTTAGTATACTGTGTTACCAAAATTTATTCTGCATCTATGTCATGTAAATTAGCATAATCACATGGTTAGGGCAAATCGCAAGAGTAGTCAAGAAAACATTGTTCATCGCGGTGATCCTGTTAGCCACATGGATAAGGTATTCTCTCCGTGTTTAGGTTAGTGGTTAAGTGGTTAACTACTGTAGCTATATTTTTTTCCTAATACCCCACGGGCACACTGTATATATTTGTATACATATATCGATATATAAATTCGGTCTAATTTTTTTGATAAATTATGTGATTAACGTTAATTAGTTATAGATTAAATTACGAATTACCGTTACTCTAAGTGCACTCTTCTTTAGTGCACAGCCTCCTAAGCGCATACCCTAATTCGGTTCCAAGCTTGGAACTTAGTGCTAAGCGCACACCCTCTGTCCTCTGCACGTGCATAAAGTTTCTGGGGCTAAGTGCAAGAAAAACAATGATAGTAATAGTCACCGTTTACTGTATGTTGCTTACATTCTAAATGTAGCAGAGGGTATTAAATTTTAATTGGCGAATAGTAATTTAATCGATCAATCATTAAGATAAATAAAGTACAGGACACAGTTCGTTATGTAAAAGAAAAAAGTAATATAAATAATAGAAAGCGTTCAGTAAGATGACCAACAAACTTATTGAGCCGATCCATTTTTATTGCACTGAGCTTATCAAAGCTTCGAAATAGGGCATAGCGAAGCGATAGGCTTTACATCAAAAATTGCGATTGTTAATGGTCATTTCACATCCGCCACATAGAATTAAGAATTTATTAAACTCAGCTGGGAAATAGTAAATAGTAAACCGGGGAGAATAATATGCTGCTGAGTTTAAATACAGTAGTATTGCTATCGGACTAATATATGCGGTGTAACACGTGAATTAGATTTTATTGTTCCGAGCCACCTAAAATTGCATAGACGTGCATTCAGTTTGCTTAGAACGGTTCTACCAAAATCCATTTTCCCGAAAGAACATATTGTCACTAAATTGGCCAGCATAATGACTAATGCCGGCTAACTTTGTCGGTATTAGGTCCTTTAGGAAATCTGTCTTTCGGGATTTTGTGGTAAAGCCGCTTAGAACGTAATAGTCCGAAGCGTAGCGAGGACTAATGATGCAGATATTTCAGAGTAGTGACTACTTACGGCATTACTGCTATGACGTAGAGATCGTATTACTCAAGGTTATATCGCTGTCGCCAATCAAATTTCAAATAACAGTTTTTGTACGAGATGGTTCATGCGCTTTACACAATTATAATCAATTTTCGTATACCATCTAACCAAGTTGCTGAATATACATAACTAAATCCTCTTTTACCAATTTCTTGCGTTATTTCGAAATAAGAGTAGATTTTCTAAGTCAGCCTTTCATAACTGCACGTTTTGTATATTCATTTATGGAGCATAATCTACATATAACGATAATATAAAAATAATTACATTAGACCGACCAAATTATATGCACTTATCATTATAGGGAAAGTGCATGTGAATTGCAAGTATAGAAAGTGCACGTGCACATATGGAGTGCCGACTATACATTTATCGCGTATTTCGGGATGCCCATAGCGATAATGTCGAGAACATATAAGTTATTGTTGAAGGATCCGATTTTCAAAGCCAAACGCCATGCTTTAAAACGTGTTGTCTTTATTACAATGTATACTTTTGCCGTATTTAGGTTACCATTAATCATTGTCAAATATTATATAATAATTTTATAAATCACTTTTTAAACCACCGATTACTGTAATATTCGCCCACTAAATTAAGGTGAATGACGGCATATGGCATTTATACGGTATGCGGCATTTTCTACTTATACGACAAATATGTTATATTTTTGCTGGGCTACCCTCAATTAGTTGTAGGTATATATTATTAGTAAATTGTGATGTCAGACTGACTATCGGAAAAATTGCTCCTTCAAAAATATCATGCGTGTCCCGAAGTAACGTATACCTAATATAATATAGTAAAATCTATTGATTCTTTATCTCGAAATAACCACATGTGGCGTTCGAAATAACAATAACCCGTATTTCGAGAATTTACAGTAACTATTAAAGTTTCAAGCACTTCCATAGATCTTCATTATCGACACACTAAAGTATTCTATTTATTGGGATCCAATGTTCTAATTTGTTTAAAACTTTAAACAAAAATTTCTTGATAACTACAAGCACTAGACAATCAGTGATAGTAAATGACTGGGTCATTTGCTCAAATGGCTGATGACCCAGAATGACCTTTCATTATAGTCATTCAAATTTTAGGTCATTACTAAACGTTGCAAACTTAATTAAATTAATTTGAGTATTATAAAAGCAAAAGATTATATTTTTGTATTTTTATAATTTTTTGCATTATTTAAAGGACGATAATGTATGTAAAAAGCATCAATTAAATATAAACTGCATATTATACGGATTTACTTGAACATTTGTGTACATTATTTAATCATGTGAATATTATCCCGACATTCAAAAATCCCGACACTCAAAATCCCTGATGTCATATTAGGATTTTAGTATTTTGACCTGACGGGATTTTGGTATCGTCGGGATTTTGTGTGGATGCCTGGATTTTGTGATGACGCGACATTGGACACTGTCCAAAATTGTCCAACAATTTCATTTGGACATTTGTCCTTGTACATTTCTGCATTACTGGGATTTTTACCCCAATCTTGCTATTCTTTTATGTTCATTCATTTTCTTTTCGGAATTTTGTATCCATATTCCTTAGGGTAGCGTTTCCACAAAAAATTGTTCACCCTGTATCAAAATTTAAGATCAAGTGTAACGTGATAGTCAAAACGTGGTTTGTTTTCTAAGTAAAAAGTCGCGTGTAAAAAGAAAACCGCGTTATAGCTAGGGTTAGGGTGAGAACAGTGTAGGTTTAGGATTAGAAGTGTTAGTAAAATTTCACGAGGACATTTTTAATTAGGCCGCAGAAGGTGGTTTCCTAATTAAAATTTAGAGCTATTCTTGTTTTTTTTGGTTCGCTTCGATTTTTACGTTACACCTGATCCTGAAATTCGATTGGCCAATATTACAAGGGATGAATAATTTTTTGTAGGAGAGCTAGAGGCTTACCAGTCTTTCTTTCAGTTGAAAATTTTTTTTACTTGCTCTTTACCAGCTCGGAATGATCTATTACTTTTGTAGAAGCATTTTACCATCTCGCCTCGTTATTCAATCACAAAAATTTGCGTTAAGGAATTCTAACCCTCAGCTGTTTCAATTGTCACTCTCAATCCCACTATTAATAGCAAATTATATAACATCAACTGGAAAGAAATAGGAAAACTTTTGTTGGGTGGCGGTACCCTCTTCCTAGTAGGGGTATACTTGCTGGCAAAACCCGGACAAATTCTAAATAATAAAAAAACAATTGCTATTTATAAAAGATTAAATCAAATAAATAATCTTAATATTTTGTAAATATATTATTTATAACTATAAGAATATATATAATTTGTTTAAATAAAGATTATTAATAAAGTTTTTGAGATATTAGTTATACTAGAATTTGGGATTTGGGATTTGGGATGGTGGACAAATCCCAAACTATAGTAAGTCAGGATTTTGCCAACATGTATAAGTAGGGGATGGAATTTTTGTTTGGTGGATATCTCAATCTAATGAACGACGTATCAATGAAACTATGAAAAATGGTACTCGACCACAGTTGATAGTGTCAGATGATGAGTATGTTCCTCGACATAAAGATATAGAGCGCCTCAAGGTCAAAAACCATGCATATTATCATGTTGTTTGTGGAGAACATGGTACTGGTAAAACAACATTGGTTAGGGTAGTGGCAAATGAAGTTGGAAAAGGTGTTATATATATTAACTTCCCTGAAAATTTCAACAAGCTTGGTGATGAGTTTGGAAAAGCTCTTAATTTAACATTCGAAGAAGATGCTTCACTTACAGTGCAACTGTTACGAAAATTTTTTGGATGGAATAAGGGTGATGAATTTAAAAATTCCTATTCTAAGTGGGAGAGAGCTATGGATGTCATTAAACATGCCTCCGAAGTATACAAATCAAATAATCAAGGCAGGCCACCAGTTATTGTTTATGACAATGAATTAATCAGAATCCGAAAATTCTTGAAATTCTTCAAGATGGTGCTAAAATGAATGCTGATGACAGAAAGTATATTGCTGTGTTTGTCAGCAGTGAAGGAAGCCCCCCTAGAATAATGCAATGTAAATGTTAACAAGGTTTTAGTCGGTTCTTTCTTCACGGACATATTATGATATTTTTATTTCTAGCACGCAGTGCTTGGTCACGTGTGAAACGACCAATGGAAATTGGCGATCTTACCGAAAAAGAATCATTAGATTACCTAGTCAATAAGCGTGGAATCAAGACTGTAAGAGAAGACATGATTGATACTACTGAAGCTAAACGAATATATGAGTTAGTCGGTGGGCGAATTATGGATTTGAAGTCTGTGGCAGACGAATTTCTTAAAGAAAATGATTTTGAAGGTATATTTTGTTTGGCACTTTGTATTGAATAGATTTTATGTAACTTTTGTTTTGATTACTTCTAAACTTTATTTTTGCAGATATTAAAAAGGAACTGTTTATAAAAGTTGAGAATAAGTTTAGAATAGCAAAACTCCTTAAAAATTATGAACATCATGAAGTAGGAAAGCATGTTATCAAAGCTTTATTAAGTTCTAAAGAACTTAGCCGTATTGAATATGAAAATTTTTTTAAAAAGCCTGAGGATGCCGATAAAGTCTTGGAGTCTAATGTTTTCGCTTATCATCCTGAAAAAAATACTGTAACCTTTCAATCTCAATCGGTAGAATGCTATGTTCAGGAAAATGCTGATATATTCCTTAAACAGTAGAGTTTATAATTTTACTTATATTTGCATAGAGTTTATTAAATAATATATATTATGTATATACTATTAACTTTTTTTAAAATGCTAAAAGCACAAATGATTAAAAATTAAAGCCCAACTTAGGCGAACTTTACAAAATGATGTGCTTTGATTACATTGTTTATAGTCTCTTTAATTTGTATTATAGTTGTATTATTTTCTCAATCAAAGATTTCAAAATTGCTTTAGAGTTGTTGATGCTATTTAGCTACCAAATATTTATTTACACAATTTTCATATAACTGAAACTTTTTGTAATGCCACTGTTACGTGTAGTGTTCACTCTTTACAATAATTTTTTTAAGTTTATATTTTACTTGGTCTTTTACAAAGCTTGTATTTAAATATTCTAGAAACTGCTTTTAGCAAAACTTGAACCAGAAATTTTGACTATGAGATTGAGTATTTAAAAAACTATACTATGAGGCCTTTTTTTTTTTTTTTATTAATATCGTATAAGAAATCAAGCTATTACATAATAATATATATGATATAATAACATAAATATTATTTCGAGTATGTTATTTTGAGGCAATTAAAAGTTTTAAGTAATTCTTGTATAAAAAATAAACAACCAAAAATTCTTCGAAACTAGATTTAGTATTAAGTAAACCTTCGAGACCTAACTTTTGTTGAAGTTCGAAGGTTTACTTAGTAATAAATCCAGTTTATCCTCAAAAGACAGATCACTGTTATTGATTTGATTTAGTATAATTTTAGAAATAAACTTAGTATTAGAATAAACGAAGCATCATAAAATTATGTGTCATCATAGATGTATAGATGTATAGATGCTAATAAAAGATACAAGTAGAAATGTTTATAATTAAATAATCTACGCTTCAGACTAAATATCTTTTGCTAATGCTTTGATGACAATTAGTTACATATTTTATCGTAAGTCTCACATCATTAATCGTGCCTTCCATAACTTTTCCACTCTTGATACCTGTTAGTACGATAAAAATAATTAGTGTAAATATGATTGATATATAAATTTAAATTATGGTAAATTATGTCATATACACACAAATTGTGGATATTCTGGATCTTTTAAAATGGTTATAATCCATGCTTGAAGTTCATCATCATCATTAGGGAATGGGAGAGAATAGTCATTTGCTTTTACGGTGTTCATAATATTAACCACCTTTTGTGAGGAATTAATAATATCATTTGATGGAGGTCGTTGATTTAATGCATGAATTTCTAAATTATTTGTTGTTTGAATTGGAGAAGGAAATTTTGACAAATTATTTTGATTTTGTATGGGTCTTGAATTGATATCCGTTGTAGCAAATGAAGATGTTGAAGATGAAGTAGAAGGTCGTGAGGATGAATCAAAGCTATAACTTTTTTGACTCAATTCTTGACGCGTTGTCAGTGTCACTGATTGCTCCCTTTGTGATCTTGAAATCTGTTGCTGTGGCATTATGCTGATATTATTAAATGGAGGTTGGACTTTACTTAAAACTTGAGCTTGATTTGATATTCCTAATTCATTAGTACTAGCAGATGATGATACACCTGAATCATTCCCAAGAATAGGTTTACAACTAATATATCTTCCAATAATTCCAGCACAGGATTCAAAATCCTCAACAGTTTTAAATCTTAATTGAAATTTACGAGCTTCCTGAGCGGTAGTCTATCACATAAGTTGTTATTAATTTTTTGTCGAGAAGTTATATATATATATATATATAAAAGAGATTTTACCACTCCATTTCGATCCACTATTGAATAATTGTATCTTATTCCAATAGTAGGACTTCTCAATAAAGCTTTTGCTTTTAAAATATTCGCGTGACGATAGGAAACATTCACACATTCCTGATTTATTATTAAAATTGGTAAAATATAATAAACGAAAATTTAATTTTTTTTTATAAGTACTAATAATGATTAAGTACCAATAATGTATTTTGATCAGCAATAACTTTTAATATAGGTTCGCCAACTCCTGCAACAATGACACCTGCGGGAAACATATTTTCAAGAGAAACAAAAACATTTGGTCGTGATATATGAGTCCATTGATTTGAAGTCGCAGAAGTGGAAGCATATGATCTTGAATATTTTTCAAGTTCATAACGAAATGGTTCATGTCTTTGGGAAGACATTTAATGATAATAAAGAAGATTTATTTTTAAAACGTATAGTTTCGTCAAGAAAAAAAAAAGAAGATAAAAATATAAATGATTAATTGATTATTGTCGTCTATTGCTGTATTGTACGGTGTAAGATTCTTTTTATGCAAAGACTTGATGAACCGCCCTAATTTCGTCACAAAAATCAGTTACGTACGTTTCTGAATTTCAAATTGACTCCGATATATTACTTTATGTGTAATTCGTATGTCTTAATATAATGGTTAGAAGCTACTTATAGAAAAAAAATAATTTTCTAAAAAACATAATATGTTTATTAAAACAAATTATATACTTAGATTATGGTCATTCCATGTTTTTCTTAATATATATTTGTTTTTTTAAATAAAGATACAAGGTTTTCATAATTATTATTACATACTAAATATAAAATAATATTTGACGCAAGAATTTTTAAATATTTTTTATTTTTAAATAGTTAGGTCAGGATTTAGGGTTAATAGTAAGTGAATTTTGATAGGGTTTATCTTTTTTATTGTTTCGCCTCAACATTGACTACGTAATAATTAATTGAAGGTCCTAATTATACGTAGTAACAGCCTATAATTATTTTTCAATTTTCAAATAGTAAAAAGGTCTAACAGTTTGTACTTTAATACAACTTTCAGTATTAATAGAATCAAGTAATAACGATAATTTTTACGTATTACTGTACGTATTAAGCTGATATTAATTTGTAATATAGCGTTTTTGAATTATTATCATTTGATTCATAATTAAATTCAAGCTTGTTACTTTTTCATTATTATACTTCAGAATGCCAAAAATTTAAAGTAAATATTGAAATTCTAAATCACTTTTACTAAACCGCACCTATGTTGCATTATCTTAAAAACTGGCTAATTAATTAGTATACGGTACTCTAAGTAAAATTACTCTACGCTCCAAAAAACCTTTTCCAAACCTTAACTCTAACCTAAATATTAACTATATAATATGAAAATTTTGTGCTAAATATTTTACCACGTACGTACGTGTTATGTGGTTTAAACATTCTGATTGGTCAGTCGCTTCTTGCCACTAAACCCGTATACAAACTGTTTATAATGATGCATTTTTATATTATATGTTAAATTCTCTAATAAAAATTTATCTTACCAAAAGTATCGCTTTTAATATGATTATAATCAAAACTTTTGTGATCCATATTATAATAAAATAATATAACAATTAATTTTGTTAAAAAATGTTTTATCTTGCACATTTTAATAACTTATTTTTAAATATTGGATATAACAAATTAACTAAAATTAACACGATAATGAATATAAAATATATACGTATTAATATAAAATATATACGTATATACGTATTAATATAAAATATATACGTATTAATATAATAAATGTATAGCACGTATGTCGTTACGTTCTAAACATTAGCACTTTCCAGTCCTTAATACTGAATTTTCAAAAATATGGTTTAATATCAAATTTATTCGCGTATTTTATTATTTTATTAGCATATTTACGTCTATTTTTTTATCAAAATTTATAATAACTTTTGATAAAGTATTGTATATAAAACGACAAATATGTTTATAACTTAAAATACCAGACCACCAAAAAAATGGTCGGAATTATATATTCAAAATCATAAAGACGCTTTTTTTTTTTTCTAAACCACTGATTTATTTATTGATGAAGAGAATATGAAAAATAAAAAACAAATGATAATGAAAATGAAAAATGAAGTGATAATGAAAAAAATGAAAGTGAAAATGAAAAAAAATGAAAAAATGAAATGTTAATACCAGATATGTGGGCCTATAAACAGTACAGTACAGTATTCAAGGGGGGATAAAAAGGGCAAAGAGCAAAGGGTGTTTTTTTTTTGGTGGGCAACAGGAGGGGCTACATATTCACAAAGGACTAAAAAGAACCGATAATTGCAAAAAGATGATGGCTATATACATTTTTTTTTTGCTTTTTGTTTTTTTTTTTTTTTTGTTTTTTTTTTTTTTACAAAAATGAAGAATTCTATGTAATGCAAAAAAAAGGACATTTTTTTAAAAAATTATATACATTTTTTTTGACTCTTCGATATAAAAAAAGTGGTGACGATTAATTTAAGTTTTCGAGTTACGATGATTTAGTTACGATGATTGAGTTTACGATGATTGAGTTTACGATGATTTCGAGTTTACGATTAAAAATTCAAAATTTAAAAAAGATTACGATTCCGAGTTTCTAGAAAAAAAAAAAAAGTTAACATCGAATCAAAATTTTAAAATGCATAAAAAAAGAGGATAAATTCTTACATTGATGACCGGCTTAAGGTTTAGCAGCAACTTATTCTAAAAAAAAAAAAATTGTTAAAAAAAAAGGTCGAACAGAAATCACAAATTTATATGATCGAAAATTGCATACGACGGTGTGGTTTAGGAGCACGTTTGACTAATAAATTAGAAGAATCAAGTTATTAAAATTATCGAGTCGAATCGACAAATTCGTATAATTGAAAAATTACATACCTTGTTTAGGAGCGCGTTTGTATCCCTTTTTGTAGTAGTAGTAGTCGTAATCATCATATGAGTAGTAATAGTCGTCGTAGTCGTAATCATAGTCGTAGTCGTATTCATCATATGAGTAGTAATAGTCGTCGTAGTCGTAATCATAGTCGTAATCGTAGTCGTAATCATCATATGAGTAGTCGTAATCATAGTCTTCTTTACGCTTATCTAGTGGTGATTAAACAGAAATTAATAAGACTATAAAAGATCAAGTGAGAGGATAAGACAAGCATACATACTGTGTTTGGCTAAAGCATTGCGTTTTCCTATTAAAAAAGATATTTAGTAATTAATTTCAAGCGGAAAATATTTGTAATAAAAAACTTCATACTATGTTTAGGAGCACGTTTTTCTAGAAAATAATAATAATAATAATAAAATCTTAGACATCGAATCAAATCTAATTTAAATCTTGCGACAAAAGTTTCAATAACATACTTTTTTCGACGGGTTCAGCTTCTCGTTTTTCTAAAGAAATGGGGGAACGAAAATCATTAAATACCAGAGTTTCAATGAAAAGACGAAACTAGGAAAATCTCAATACCTTCAGGTTCGGCGACACGCTTTTCTAATATAGATTAGGATACAGTTAAATTATTAAAGCTAACAAGATATTAGCAAAGTTACGAGAATTAAAGTTACGAACCTTCTTCTGGAGCAGCGGTAGCGAAGACTGACGCTACGAAGAAGAAGATAGCTAATAAGGAAAGATACTTCAAATTCATTATTTTTCTTTTTTTATACAATATTAGGATTTATTTTTTATAATTTAATTTATTTGTGAAGTGAAATTGAAGGAGAGATCGAAAGGATTTATATACTTTTTCGCGGTCATAAATTTGATATAAGTCTTTATCATCTATCTATCTATTCAATAATAATCTCAAAGTCTAACATAAATCTGATCACAGCCTCAGATATTTCTCTTTTCATCAGACAATAATTGAGTGCACTTTTCATTGTCCAAAATAAAAAATTCTAATATATTAATTAATAATTAATAATTAATAATTAATAATTAATAAGAAAAATGAATTGCAAAAAACTTTGATTCGATTCAATGACTTTCGAACTGGCTTAGCAGATCTGAAAATTGATCTGGAAAAATTAACGCATACAAGATCCACATATACCTTAAATAGATATTTGATATTAATGCACGATTTAGACAATATCTTTTTTTATAATTCAATATGTTAAAGAAGGAAAATTCATAAAAATAAATTTCCAGATTTTTATTATTAAATATTTTGATATCGTTAACATAAAATTTTTTAATATACATGTGTGGCTGTGGTTTACACCAGTGATAGTCAATTTAGGCAATCCCATATTAGTTCCATATATATTCTTTATATATGTTATATATATATATATATATGCGATATATATGCTATACGTACGTATCTGAGATAGAATAACTGTCATTTCACATATCTATTAAAGAAGCTTCAAATTGTGTTAACGATATTTTATAATGCTAATATACTTGGTTTTTGTCAAAGATAATGTAAATTCTCGATAGCGCATGAGTACATGTTAATTTTTTTTTCGCTTGCTCCAAGTTTTTTGCAAGGAAAATAATTCCGGATTTTGATCAATGAAATTTCCGTAATTTTAAATTTTACCACTAAGCCATGACAATCGATATCCCAGCATAATATGAATTAAGATGATAACTTCGCCCCAATTGAATACTAAGCCGAGCATATATCATGTATAAATTCCCCATTCTTTAAGTCAATGACTTAATCACGTGTTACAGATTACAGGTCGTTATCTAAAAACGATGAACTAAGCCATGAACACATGTATTATATGAATTTTCCAAATTCAAATTAGAATAATCACACAATATCGGTGGCTAAGTCGTAAATTAGCTAAGCCATCTATTGTCTTTTATTGCTTACAATTTGCTTCTTATACAGACTACAATCTACTTGTTCACTATCAATTCAATGTAACAATATTTATTCCATTTTATTGTCTGTGTGTAATAATCCACGTAATAGTGCTTAGCTGACTATATCGATATCTAAATCGTTCGCGTTAATTAAAAACACGTAATCATAAATGGTTATTTGATGATTTTGTGATTACTAGCATTTATAATCGGCTTAGCTGGTTATATCGATATCCAAATCGTTCGCGTTAATTAAAAGCACGTAAGCATAAATGATTATTTGATGATTTTGTGATTACTATCATTTATAATCGGCTTAGCTGGCTATATCGATATCCAAATCGATCGAGTTAATTAAAAGCACGTAAGCATAAATGGTTATTTTGTGATTTTGTGCCTACTAGCATTTATAATCGGCTTAGCTGACTATATCGATATCCAAATCGATCGCGTTAATTAAAAGCACGTAACCATAAATGGTTATTTGATATAATAATTGGGTGCTACATAAGAGATCCAAAATTTTTTACTGTAGTTTCGGATATCTATTAGTTTGATTTTAATTGATCTTTTTAATCCTCTCTGGTTTATTAATCTTTGCATTCGATGAATATAGGTAATTTTTACTATTAAATCGTGAAAACTCAATATGTGAATTTATTTTGCTTGTTATTGTTTCTTATCAATACAGCAATAATTAAATATTCGGACATCCGAACACGTGTTTCTTTGCGAAATATATATTTAAATTAACGATCAACATTATAAGCCATTTTGATAATTTAATTTCTGCTCACGTGTTCCCATTAAAAAATCTGACTCGTGTTCGATCTTGTGACAGCACAATAAGCCCGACTGACAAAAACGGTTACCGTAAACGGTCATATAAAAGATCTTCCCCGAATAGTAGACCCACCGAGTACTAGACCCGAGTGCAGTTCTCAGGATCTTGATTGATATGTAATTCTTTCAAACATCTAGATTGCATGTTACAAATGCAAAGTGTGTATGCATTTCAAATTTTTATTCTCTATCGCTATACAAACTCTCAGCCATGTACTACCGTAAAATCCGGACACGTATACCCCATGGCGTGTACCCCCTAGCAGTTTTAAGGGCCAGTTGGTGACTTATACCCGGGATACACGTATTCGGATTTTATGGTAGATCCCGGGTCTACGGTTTTGAATGTAACAGACCCGGGTCTTTATATGACCGTTTACGGTAGGATTTTTTCTAGGTTAATTTGAACTGTCAGATCATTGAAGTTCTCAAAATTTGTTAGTCAGACTAATATGAAAGTATGACTATCAGGTTTTATACCACATGCAATCTAAAACTCTTAAACCCGGAAGCTACATAGCAAAGTTTTGTTGTGTATAAACATACTAGCTATATAATATTTGTAGATGAAAAAGTTGGTGCAAGAGATCATCAGAAAGAGATTATTGTTATAGTTGATTATATAATATATTATACTATATATTACAAAATATTAGCCATATCGGCGGATTTGCGGAATTGGTCCTGAATTGATCCTAAGTTGTATCCTTAAAGTTATTCGCCCAAATTTTGTAGCAAACAAATATACGTACATATAAAGATAATTTAAGGAGTAAATAGATACAATAACACTGTTATTGTATCTATTTACCCTTAAATTATTTGCTACAAAAATTTTGATAATTTTGCGGATAATTTTGAGGATACAATTTAGGATCAATTCAGGACCAATTCTGCAAATCCGCCGATATGCTTAGACTTTTTTGTTTATAATTTAAATCAACCAAAGCAGTATATATTTCACTTATATATTTACTTAAATTTTTGTATTATTGCTTTTTTTCTTTATCTAATTTTTTATTTTTTATATTTATTATATATATTACTTATATATTTAATTTTATATATCTAATTCAGGTTTACTAAAATGCACCTATGGTGTTTAACACTATAGGTTCCTATTTCTCAAAAACATACTAAGTAAACTGAATTGGGTATTCTAAGTAAAAATGTTTAAAACCTCTAAAAACTTTACAAAAACTAAAATTAAAGCCTTATATCTAATATATATTATAATATATAAAAAAAAAAAAATTTATAAAAATATATCCTAACTCTAAATTTTATTAAAAAAAAATTATATATTGTTACAAAGTAGATTGTAACACAGTGTGACAATAGTATAGAATAGCTAGTTTATATTTGATCAATTGTATTATTATATTATTATATATTTATTAGCATAGTATTAGTTAGCATTTTTATTATCATTATTTTTGTATTAGTATTTATTAGTTATAGAGATATAATTGGCTAGTTATATTTGGCACAGTAATACTATATCTAAGATAGCACAAGTGCCTCCAAGTGCCTCTGCATGAGTGCCTCCAAGTGCCTCTACATGAATGCCTCCAAGTGCCTCTGCATGAGTGCTTCCAAGTACCTCTATACAAGTGCCTCCAAGTGCCTCTGAGTGCCTTTACACAAGTATCTCTGAGTATCTCTATACAAGTGCCTCTAAGTGCCTTCACATAGTGCCTCTAAGTGCCTCTTATACAGTTTAACCATTACACCTCTTATGTGTAAAAAGTTATAAAAAGAGAGTCTTTTGCTCTTTCTGCTCAAGTTAGAGTTCTCTATCCTCTCATAGAATCTAGCCTTATCTAACTACTCTTATTACTCTTCTTACATTTGTATAATGTAATATTCTCTCTTTAGATTATTTCTATTGTAAAGGATATTACTGTGAACTTGTTATTAATAAATATTATCATCTCTATCAAGTATACAATATTGAGCAAAAATTGTTAAATAATGGTAATTTGGCTTAACCAGACAAATGATTGGCTGACACATGCTGCAAAGCGGCACATATCAGACAATCATTTGTCTGATTGAGTCAAATTACTGTATTCAACAATTTGCCCAATATTGGTATTATCTGGCAATTTATGATTATGGCATCCAATCGTCCCCATAAATATAATTTTAGATCTAGAAAATAGATAATCATATAGAAAAAAAAATTTTTGCTACCGCAATAAGCTCTTACTAGTGACATTTTTTTAATAAAAACTAGTTTTTTTGACACAATAATACATATTCTAAGAACTGTGCAAAGTTGTAATGCCAAAATCAAAGAGAAAATTGAACAAATCTGGTGATGTGAAGATAAACGCTATTTCATCATCTGGGAAAAAAAATACGACAAACGAAGCTACACCACCTGTGATCAGAAAAACCAGGGCTGGTAATGCAAAAGCGAAAAGGAAAGCCACTTCAATCTTGGCTAGTAATAAAGTGTCAAATTTGAACAGTAATGTTGGGTCAAATGTGATCGATAATGCTAAAATTGAAAGCTGTGGTGCAAAGGAACCTAATTCAAACGTAAAAAATAAAGTAAAGAAGTTTTTTTTATTTCTTTTAGTTCTTGTTCATATGAAATATAAAAATTTTAGCAGGCTAGATATTTTGAATCTACCTTGGAAGAAATTGAAGCAATTCATAAGAATGCAAAGATACAATCAATATACAAAGCGACAGCAGTGTGGATTAAGGCCCTTGAAGAATTTCGTTTAGATGTAGGCTACAAGGGTAAAATTGAAGAAGTTAATTCTAAAGAAGTACTCAAAGATCAACTATCACAATTCGTATGTGCTATGAAGCGAAAAGATGGTGAAGAATACCATGCATCTTTGGTTCGTAACTGTATGGCTATGATTTGGCAACACTTAAATCAATATTTTGTTATGCAAAAACCTGTAGAGATTCTTAACCCGAAGGTTTATTTCAATCTAAATACTATCATTAATAGTAAATTAAAAAATCTCTCAGCAAAAGGTCTTGGAGAACACACTAGGTCAGATAGGCTGACCTTACAAGAAGTTGAACTTATCCTTACTCATCATACTATGCAGCATAATACTCCAGCGCCGTGTTTTTTTTTATAACTCTATTCTATTGGCTTTGTAAGGTGGCGAACATCAAGATCTTTGAATTAATAATCTTATGAAAAGAGCTAATGGAGGAATCAACATGAAACTTTTTAGATCAAAAATAAATCAGCGAGGTCTTGATAACTATGACAGAAAAGCTAAAGTTATTAGTTTTCCTAATATCAAATATATAATTGATGACTATGAGTTCTATTTTGTTAAGCGCCCTGTTACAAAGATTGCAAATTTTTATTTGAAACTGATTCTAATAAATATGGGTAAATATTGTGTTTTTTTATTGTTAGTATTTGGGTTTTTTTTTCTTCTAATATTAGCTTTTTATCACAAATTGAATTTAATGATCAGTAGTTCAAAAGATATGCTTTTGGCAAACGAAAATTAAGAGAATATTTTTGGGTCATCTGCGAATCAACTGATATAAAATTTGGTACTCATAATATATCTAATCATTCTGGGAGGAAAACCACGGT